GCTGCAGGACGACAAGCCTGTTGCATTCGCCGGCAAGAAGCTTACCGAGACGAAGTCTCGCTACGCCAATATTGAGCGTGAGCTCTTAGCTGTCGTATACGGGTGTGAAAGATTCCACATCTACCTATTCCGTCAGTCATTCACAGTAGAATCCGACCACAAGCCGCTGGAGTCAATCAAGCTCAAGCACCTCCGCGCAGCCCCGCCGCTTCTACAGCGCATGCTGCGGAAGCTGCAGCCGTACGACATGACCATCAAGTACCACCCCGGAAAGGACATTCCGATCGCAGACGCGCTATCCCAACTGTCGCCAGAGGAAACAGAGCCAATTGAGGACCTCGACGTCAGTGTACACGCCGAGTTCCTGCAATTCAGCGATGCGGCGATGACGAGGATCCGCGAGGAGTCGGCTAAAGACGCCGAGATGTCAGCACTAAAGGAAATGATCTTCAGTGGCTGGCCATCAGAGAGGAGCGCGGTGCCTGCAATTCTGCTCCCGTACTGGAATTTCCGCGACGAGATGAGCACCGAGGACGGTCTCATCCCGAAGAGCTGCCGCGTCCTGATTCCCCCACCAATGAGGGGGGAAATCCTCAGCAAGCTGCACGCCAGCCACCAAGGCATAGAGAAGACCAAGCTGCGTGCCAGAACGTCCGTCTTCTGGAAAGACATCAACAAGGATATCGAAGCAACTGTCTCATCTTGCACGACATGCCAGCACCACCAGAGCAGTCAAGCCAAGGAACCACTGGTGCAGCCCGATATTCCGCCAAGGGCATGGCACACCTTAGGCACGGACCTTTTCTACCTCGGCGTGTCAGAATACCTCATTGCCGCCGACTACTACTCCAAGTACTTTATCACCCGGAAGCTGCCTGCCGGACAAGCGACCAGCAGGGCCATCATCCAGCACCTCAAGGAGATTTTCGGTGAGCACAGCATCCCAGCCGTGCTGAAGTCGGACAACGGGCCGCAATACAGCAGCCATCTGTTCGCGGAGTTTGCTGCCGAATATGGATTCCGCCACAGCACGTCGTCGCCACATCACCCGCAGAGTAACGGGTTTATCGAATCGCAAGTCAAGATCGCTAAGAGAGCTCTCGAGAAGGCAAGGGAGAGCGGGGCCGACCCGCACTTAGCACTGCTGTGCATTCGCGCCACCCCCAGTGTGCCAGGGCTTACCGTCGCCGGCCGAGATGCTGTTTGGTCGTCAGGTACAGGACAACCTGCCTCGCAAACCCCAGCGCGACACTCGGGACGAGGCCATCCGACAGAAGCTCGAGGAACGGCAGGACCAGCAGAAAGTACACCATGACCAGCGAGCGCAGTCTCTCCGCCCCCTAGTTCCCAGTACACCATGACCAGCGAGCGCAGTCTCTCCGCCCCCTAGTTCCTGGTCAGCACGTCGGCATCCGCAGCCCGACCACGCACCTGTGGGAACCCGGTATCGTAACCCAGTCTGCCAACGGGCCACGGTCATACATGGTGCAGCCTGACCATGGGACAGAAGTGCGGCGCAACCGTACCCACCTCAGAGAAAGTAGAGGTGCTGTTAGCTCAAAGTAGAGCTGCGATTAGCTCAAAGTAGAGCTGCTGTTAGCTCAAAGTAGAGCTGCTGTTAACTCAGAGTAGAGCTGCTGTTAGCTCAAAGTAGAGCTGCTGTTAGCTCAAGGTAGAGCTGCTGTGAGCTCAAAGTAGAGCTGCTGTTAGCTCAAAGTAGAGCTGCAGTTAGCTCAAAGTAGAGCTGCTGTTAGCTCAAAGTAGAGCTGCTGTTAGCTCAACGTAGAGCTGCAATGCTAAATGAATGTAATATTGCGCAAGGCAGAGCCGCAGCAAATAGCTAGATAACACCAGTTGTGAGAGTGGACCTGATTAGTGGGTACGATAATTATAATGATGGTGTGAATAAGTTGGATAGGGAGGGATGGTGGGAAAATAAAACTGCTGAAGCACGATGCGTTGTCTGGAAGAGCACAATAGGGCAAGCAAGATTTGTTTAGAACGGGCTGGTGCAATTTGTGATTACGCAGCAAAACAAAGCTCATGATGTCCGTCTTGAATGCAGTACAAAGCAATGCAGTGCAGCGTGTGTTCTAGTTCGGATTGTTGCTAACAAGTACTAGCACAGCTCGTACACCATTAGCCAAATCGAAAGTGCTTGAGACTGAGATAACGGAGTCACAGTTTTGCAAATGATGCACCGCTTAAAAGGGAAGTTAGGCCCAAATCACCTGATCACCACGCCAGCAGGCGACAACTTTCACACCAAGGTTCAACTCGAGTGACAGGACTGCACCCAAAAAAGGTCAAACAGGCTAGTAAGTTGTACCCTGCAGGCACGGTGACCAGGTGACTGGCGTACGCAGGAGCAGGTGACCGCTTGTTCAACCATGTTCGATTGGGAATAAAGGAGGAACGCTGCATTGCAGCCTTTTCGGACCAAAACCAGTCGACTCAGCGTCCAAAAGACTACAACATATGGGCCAATCGCGGTCATCCGTGCTTTTATAATAACGAAATGGCGCTTTTAGTGACATTTTGCATACAAATCCCCATCTAGTAGGGCGCAGTCACCCAGTTTCGGTGGAAGTGCGCGAGTTCGATTGGGATTCAAGTAGGAAGGGAGCGTCTCAGCTTCCTCGGACCACGACCATTCGACTCAGCACCCCGAAGACTACAATTGGTGAAATTTTAATTTTTGCCTTAACTTCCCCTTTAACGCACCGTCTCAGTGTGGGGTGGACATCCTAGCAAAGGAATTTGTTAGCTGCACTGCGCGTTGGGGCTTGACCGTGAGCACTTCCAAGACGAAGGTGATGGCCGTGGGTGATGACTCTGCTCGGTGTGGCATACATCTGGAGTCTGGTGATGTGATTGATCAGGTGGCTAGTTTTACCTACCTCGGTGGTTCTCTGGACGATAACGGTTCACTGGAGGGCGAGGTAGCAGTGCAGCTGGCTAAGGCGTCATTTGTTTTTGGCTCCTTGCAGATGCCCATTTCCCAATACAAGCCCCTATCCATACGCACGAAGAGACTGGTGTATACGGCCATTGTACTCATTACTCTGTTTTACGGTGCCGAGACCTGGGCACTGAAGGTGACACACCTGCGGTGGCTGAACGTCTTCCATCACGCGTGCAGTCGTGCTATCCTTGGGCATCCTGCTCTACACAGTGGCAGGACAGGCTCACCAGCGAGGAGATTGAAAAGCGAGTCAGACTCACAGCAGACATTGGTGAGCTTCTGCGATGCCAACGTCTTCGATGGCTTGGTCACAGGATGGATTCCAGCCGTCTCGCCAAGCAGGTCCTCTCCGGGGAACATCCGTCGCGGCGCCCCAGTCATGGCCCCAAGAAGAGATGGCGTGATGTCGCTGGATCTGACCTGGCCTCATGGCGATCCCGGAAAGTGACTGGTATGATGTGGCACAAGACAGGGGAGAGTGGAGGAAGTTGTCTCGTCGTCCTCCGGCAGGGCCAGAGAAGAGTTTTCAGTGCATGTGTGGAGGAACATTTCGCCGGACGCGTGACTTGAAGCGTCACTCCCCACATTGCTCAGCTCACGCGCTATCATCACACTAGCGATGGGCGTCCAATGTCCAATGTGTGTATGTGTATGTGTGTATGTGTATGTGTGTGTCCATATGGTGCAGTGGTATGTGCAGCAATTTCCAATCGATAGGTTGCGGGTTCGATTCCCGACGATTATGGTCACACACGTCTTTCTTCTCTTTCTCAGACTCTTCCTGACTTTTCTTTCATTGTCCTGGGTGGTTACCAACAGCCAGTGCATGCCGGAGTATGTGGTGTGATGTGTGTGCGGGGAAAAAAATGAAAAAGACCAAAATTAGGGATTCACTGGCCAGAAAAAGTCACTTCAAATAGCTGTATGGTGTAGACCAGGCTGAATGGTGACGGTCAATTCTTCAGCCTTGCAAGCTGTTGAATGTTGCAATCCCAGCACAAGTTGCTATGGCTTCTGCCGTAGCATTGCTATCATTGCCTCCGGCGATGGGCGTCAAAGGTCAAAGGCGTGTGTGTGCATGTGTGTGTGTGTGTCTGTGTCGGGGAGCGTCAAGCCATCCAAACACCTGGCTTTCGGCGACACAATTGCAATCGTGGACGGCGTAGTGGCGGAGCGGCTTCCTAGTGGCAGTGCTGACTTCTCTCGAACTCTCTCTCTCTCTCCTCTACTCTCCCTTGTCTCGGGGGCGGCGTGGCCAAGCATTTGGCAGCTGTACACCAGGCCAGGTGTGTGTGTGTGGCTGTGTATGTGTGTGTGTGTGTGTGTGTGTGTGTGTGTGTGTGTGTGTGTGTGTGTGTGTGTTTTGGAAGTACATGTATTGTACTTGTGTAAGCTGTTCCTTGAGCTGTGTGTACAAAAGGAGAATGTGTTGTCTTTGCAGTTACGTGGTGCTAATCCTCGTGAGTGTTTTTAGTACAAGTAGTACCATGAGATGTGTTCTCCTGCCTTCTTTCTTTTCACCCACTGAGTAAATGTGCCCTTTTAGTCACCCATTTTCGCCCCTTTAATTTCCGCTTCGTGAAATGTTAGATTTAATCTCTTACAAACTCGTTGCCTATATTTTGTAGTCTTTGAGTTTTTTCATGATTCCCTGTATAACCCTGCGAGAATGGAACAAAAACGTTCTCCAGTTTTACTCTGTTTGGATCGTCCTTCTGCCTGGTTCTGCGGCGTCGGTGCATGCATGGATTGACATGAGGGAATATGCATGGTTTAGATTATGTATGACTGCTCCCTTATCCGACCATTTTTCTCATTCGAACCCTCTGGAAATAGCCTGCACATCAAGCGATGTGAGTAGTCGGCGCTCTACTATATTTATTGTCATTTGCTATTTGATATGCTGTATTGTTTCATGGCGAGATATTCTTGTCGGTAGCACTGAAACGACTAGTTGTTAGTGCTCTCTGCTCTGTTGTTTGTTCTTAACTTCAGTGCACTCTGTTCTACTGTGCTGTGTTATGTTTTCTTGCAGGCAAAGTTACTGAAGGATGCCTGCAGCCACAAAGCTACTTCTGTTGTTAAGTTCTTGGCAAGCACTGTTGACAAGCACATGCTGAACCATCAAGGGTATTACAGTTTGCCTCTCTCTACGGTATCAACTGTAAGTGTACTGTCAGTGTAAGTGTAATGGACCATCGTTTAGAAGAACGCTGATAACCTTAAAAAAGCTATGGCAGGGCCATTTGTACGGGCAACAAATAAGTAATACATGCCCTGTGTCGGTTGTGTTAGTTTCAAGCCTAGCAGTCACGGTTATATCGGTGCAGGGTGTGTGGCTGGTGTCGTCAGGAGGCTGTCGAGGTGGGGACAGATATGTGACATTGTCGAGGCTGAGGAAGTATTTGTTCTCATGCCAGCATTTGGACATGAGTTTCGAGAACTGGTTGAGACTAGATGTTGATTTATCGTGTTGACTGGGTGAGTACTTTTCTCTAGTGTAGAGGGAATATCACTAGGTGATGTTGATGTACGCACGGCCACCATACTTTACTCTCCAATGGACTTCGTACTGGGTGTTCGATTTCTTGAGGCTCCGGATGTGCCTGGACAATTTCGTGCTGTAGGAATATTTTCGTGTCTACTTGTTGTTATGTGGTTAGCAATAACTTAGCATGGCGTAACTTGAACGATGGCGCCGATGTATCATTTAATACCAGAGCATTCTTCGTAAAACGGCTTTTGTACCGGCCACAGTTGGGCCCTAGCCAGGTGGGCCCAGGCCACACCTTAGGATGTCTGGATGCCGGAGAGTATACGTACGGTTTACTGTGAACCTCAAGGGAGTGATGTAATAAGTAGCAAGGTTGCGAATATGCGCTCTGGCCTGTCAATCAACTCAATGTGCTCCCTCTAGCAAGAACCCAAAGACTACATTTTGTTTAAAGGGGAAGTTAAGGCAAAAATTAAAATTTCACCAGTTGTAGTCTTCGGGGTGCTGAGTCGAATGGTCTTGGTCCGAGAAAGCTGAGACGCTCCCTTCCTACTTGAATCCCAAACGAACTCGCGCACTTCCACCGAAACTGGGTGACTGCGCCCTACGAGATGGGGATTTGTATGCAAAATGTCGCTAAAAGCGCCATTTCGTTCTTATAAAAGCACGGATGACCGCGATTGGCCCATATGTTGTAGTCTTTTGGACGCTGAGTCGACTGGTTTTGGTCCGAAAAGGCTGCGATGCAGCGTTCGCCCCTAATTCCCAATCGAACATGGTTGAACAAGCGGTCACGTGCTCCTGCGTACACCAGTCACCTGGTCACCGTGCCTGCAGGGTACAACTTACAGCCTGTTTTGACCTTTTTTGGGTGCAGTCCTGTCACTCGAGTTGAACCTTGGTGTGAAAGTTGTCGCCTGCTGGCGTGGTGACCAGGTGATTTTGGCACCCAGGAGCACGTGACCGCTTCTTCAACCATGTTCGATTGGGAATAAAGGAGGAACGCTGCATCGCAGCCTTTTCGGACCAAAACCAGTCGACTCAGCGTCCAAAAGACTACAACATATGGGCCAATCGCGGTCATCCGTGCTTTTATAAGAACGAAATGGCGCTTTTAGTGACATTTTGCATACAAATCCCCATCTCGTAGGGCGCAGTCACCCAGTTTCGGTGGAAGTGCGCGAGTTCGATTGGGATTCAAGTAGGGAGGGAGCTTCTCAGCTTTCTCGGACCAAGACCATTCGACTCAGCACCCCGAAGACTACAACTAATTTTTGCCTTAACTTCCCCTTTAAATAGTTTGGAAGAAGATGTCATCAATCATATCCTTGTCCTGACTTGCATCGTGCATGCTTGGCTCAAGTTTCGTGACAAAGCAGACTTCTTGAACGTCACTGCCAGCCCAAGAGCGGACCAGATATCGATCTCTGCGGCTACTCTCCACTGAAAAAGGAGAGAAGATTGAGCTGAAAGTAAAGCAACTCTCTCTTTCTCACTTCGAAATAAGGACATAGCCACGATTGCGTAAACTGCCTGTGGTTGGTTGAGTTGACACACCTTTCCTTTTCCTAGACTAGCCAAAATAAGGTGGTTTCCGGACACCAAAAACACATACAGTGCAGCGCCGGATTGAGAATGAGGTCTTTCCCACCAGGTTCCATTTTTAGCTGCAGTCAGGATGGATACAACTTTTCCGCAATATTTGTAGGTGTTCACTGTTAAAATGGTACTTCAAGTGGGGTGTTGAACGAATCACTTGTAATCTTCATGAGAGGGAAAATAGTACCAGGTGTGTGCATCATATCCAGTGGCCAGTATGATAGACTACGGTACTGCACAGAACCACCACTCCGGCAACTAGGGACCCACATCGACTCAAAAGTCATTAGAATTGCCTTCTAATGTCATCACTTTCAGTATCTGCTTTGTTTGTTGCATTTCCACTTTCTGGTACTTTGCATGCAGGAACCATTCTACGGTAGTGCTCTTCATGCAGCTGTTAGTCGAGGCTCCGTGGAGTGTTTACGGTATTTGCTCGATGCCGGTGCGCACACAAACGTAACTGATCTTGTGAGGAAACCAGTTTTATGATAGATATTTGGTTGGCATGGTTCCTGTGTGCACACGTGTATCTGAATGTGCGTGTGAATGGGTGTCTGAATGTGTGTCTGAACATGACGGGAGAGCTTGAAAGCTCAGTCCCCTACGCTATGTGTTTTTGCCTAGCTCATCATGCATGTTAATCGAACTGATAGAACCGTCTTTGGGCTGATGTTAGGGAGGAGAGGTATGCGTTAGAACTGTAGAGGATATCATGTAGAATGAGAGAGCGAGTCACATAATCTGTTAGAGATTGCGTCTCATCCGGGCCTGACTCATTTTTGCCCTCGAACATCGATATCCAGAGATCGATCTGCTCGACGCCAGATTGAATCGGGACATAAACTCGACGGAAGCAAAAATCTGCCCTACTGATAACTCCAGCTTCTGGAGACATTCTAGCGAAATAGATCTGGATTTACCGACCGATCTGCAGGCGGATTTCCTACTAACACTTGATGTGGATCCGATATCCAGCACATGATGAGCTCCCTCAGAACCGGAAGGAAAACCTGAAGACATTTCGACACTGAACGAAGCCACGCTACACGAAAACAGAAACTGAAAACTACTAGCACCAAGAAAAAATGACACAGAATTTGTTCGTGGCGTCTCAATGAATCTTTCGTGAAATGACGCTTCTTTTTCATTTATCCTTTGTTTTTTAACCAAAGCATGGGATTCGAACCTGCACTATCGCCTTGCATGCATTATCCCTATCCATGATACCAAGAGTAGATAAACAAGAGTTTGCAACTCCGGATTTCTCCGGCACAATCTCCAGATATTTTTTGTTGACGTCACCATTTTTTTGTTATGCCTATAGGCTCAGAGTGATAATTATTGTTTGGTATACGGGTGTGTTATGCCTATTGTGACATGCATCACACTGCATGCCTGAAGGTATAGGGATAACTTGTTAGTCGGTTACAGCTCCATTCACACCTCAGTTCCTCCAAGGTTCTTGCTGGCCAGCCTGCGAGCCTGCGAGTTCTTAGCAGCCACTTGACAGATACATTTACTGGGAAAGCAGCAAGAAGACAGTATATGACGTGTTAGCTCCTCTGGATAAACGGTCCTTTTCTAAGAAACTTTCATAGGACACTACTATATTTTTATGAGTATAATCACGAGTATATAAGCCCCCAAGAGTGTGCAACTCATGATACCCTTTCTATGGGGTACACCGACAGCGAAAACTCACATCATGTGGTGTAGTGTCGTAGTTGTATGTGTCCAGCTCGTTTTTAGCGAGCACTGGAGTAATAAAAAAGAACTCTCTGATGGAAACTAACTGCGCGTATGCAAATCCCCGGCATGATCATGGCAGATACTCGGATTGCGTGCACGCTATCCTTCGTTTGTACGTAGTGTGAATGTACCTGAGACATGTGATGTGAGTTTTCGCCGTCAAAAACCCCCCATATGCAGAGTTGTACACTCTTGGGGTCTATAATACTCTTTATACAGTAAAACCTGGAACTACTGACCACCCCTTGGTTCCAGCAAACGTGGTCTTTAGTGGCAGGTGGTCTTTAGTTAGAGGTTTGCACCGTTCAACCATATATGGATCCCATTATATGATATGTATGTCAAAATGCAGCTAATACTATTTCCCAGGACTTGCGCAATGCCATTCTTATTTCAGATCAAACAACATTTAGACTTATTTAGTAACTTAGAGACAGAGAAAGGGAGAAGACTTATTTTTTTGCTGACGTCAAATTCAGGTGCTACTTCTGAAGCCAGGAGTCAAACGTTCGCCGTGGAAGTTTCATTTTGCGCTGGGCTTCAAATTTGTTCATGCGATCAATCGTACCGATTGTCCTTGTTGTGACTTCTCGAATGCTTGAAAGCGATCCTTCAGCATCAGGACCTTGCAGCGCTGCTTTGTTTCTGGATTCCTTGGTGCCATTCTCGATTCGTTTGTATGACTGGGGTGACAGAGCCGCTCAGTCTTCGTTTCTCCTCCGAGTAGTAACATCGATCAGAGAGCGCTTTCGATGCGCTCTCCAAGACGTTTTCTATCATGTTGGTTCTTGACAGCACTTGAAATTTTGACAGGTGTAGTGCAGTCCACACCGACTCCACAGTCGAAATGACCTGCGTTCATTTGTTCAGCTGCGCTCCTAGCCAGTAGTCTGGAAAATCAGCAAAATTTCAAGAAGGAGCTTCAAGCAACATTTGAGTCTTTTAAAAAGACTCAAATCTTGCTTGAAGCTCCTAGGAGATTTCCTACATCGCGGTCGCTAGCTACGGGTTAAACATCATCTTTGGGACAGAAAAATGCGGTCGCTGGTCACGTTCATCAGGTAGTCGCTAGTCACAGTGCATTTTGAATGTGAGACAGTCCATTCCTGGCGAAGTGGTCGTTAGTACCAGGCTGGTACTAACGACCACTTCGCCAGGTTTATGCCTGTTTTGGAACTCCACTCTAAATAAAGCCAAACAACAACAACATATACCAGTTTTACCATGAGTGCTGCACGTCACTAGAAATTTTCTTTTGTTTATCACTGCTTTGACCTATTGCTGTATCACAGGATAGACGAACACCACTTCACGATGCCACTATGAAGAACCAGGCCGACTGCGTTCTTCATCTACTGCAAGCTGGAGCTAACCCAGATAAAAGAGATGAGGTAGGTTATGGAACAGCCATTTCAATATACTCTGCTAATGCATTTCCTGAAAACTAACTTTATGAAGAAATCAAAGTCTGTCTTGGTAAACTGCTGGAAAGTGCTCAGTGTGCCGGGTGCAGAGCTTTTTCACAATGCTTATTCCAAAATTATGTTACAACAGATCCTGACTACACCCCTCTCTCTTTCATTTAAAACAGTTATTTGAAGATTCACTCTATGCCATAACTCGGAGCATCATGTTGCTTGTGTTGTGAATGCGGTTGGTCGGAGAGCACATTTCTGTGATGACTTGAGGAGTCTTCTGGAATCAGCAGGCTCAAAGCTGCCACTTGCCCTCTTTCATATCAATGTATCCTCCACAGACGAACATGTGGCGTTCAATATGTACAATCACCTCTCATAGTGAGCCCTGTTATTTGTTGGCTACTTGTTGAACATACACTTGTGTTGTAGCGGAGAAAGACACCTCTTCACTATGCCAGTGAGAGGCGGGTTCATGACAACTGCTGGCGACATCTCCTGGACAGCAAAGCCAATCCAAACCTACTTGACGAGGTAAGTTGTATCTCATGAAGCATTAACAAACAAAACTGTGAAATTGCTACCCTGTGCTGCAATGATCTTAACCACTGCACAATTCTCCACAGGAAACCTGGGATGTTAAGGGAAGCTACGAGTTGAACTAATTTTTTTTTCCTGAACCAAACCTTTTAGTTGAAACATGTGCTTGACCGTTATTGTGATAGGTAGGGTATATACACCTTCCTCAGGGTGTTCAGACTCCACTGTAGCAACTTCATGTTTTACACAGGTCTACACCACTACGTAAAAGAGGTCTACCGGGTATAGTGTGTAGACTTTGTAAGCGTGCCATGTAATATAGTGGACACACAAGTAGCCATGTTCTTTGTTGGTTAGTTATTGAAAATTCACTTGTGTTCTAATGGAGAAAGGCACCATTTCACTATGTCAGTGGCCAGGGTCATATCGACTGCATGCGGCATCTCTCGACAGCAAAGCCAACCCAAACCTTTCCGATAATTTAAGTTGATGAACATTCTGTTCTACGATTATTGTGATAGGTAGTGTAGAGACTATGTCAGGTGCAGACAGTATTGTTGGCCCACCAGTACATATGATTGAGAACTGCTCAGTCTGATTTGTAAAATATACCGCAGTAATCACACCATCAGAGTGATACACCAGTTTCCCCTGAGTGCTGCAAGTCAGTAGAAGTTTTCATTTTGTCAATCACTGCTTGTACCTATGGCTGTATCACAGGATCAACGGACACCACTTCACTATGCCGCTATTTACAACAAGGCCGACTGCGTTCTTCGTCTACTGCAAGCTGGAGCTAACCCAGATCAAGGAGATAAGGCAGGTTATGGAACAGACATTTCAATATACTCTGCTAATGCATTTCCTGAAAACTTCGAAGAAATCAAAGACTATGTAGGTAAACTGCTGGAAAAGTGCTTAATGTGCCAGGTGCAGAGCTTTCTTTGACCACTTTGTGGTGGGTCTGATCTACTCACCTCCCACCACTTTAGGAGTCGCATCTGCATATTGATCCAAGAGGGTGGCGGCATTCCGGCGGATGCGGAAAACTCGGCTTCTAGCCGAGTCTCACGCAAATTGTGATTTTTTCCGTTTGCGCCTTTCCCTCGAAATGATTGAAATTCTGGCAAGGTGCTAGTCTGTGAGAAAACAGCAAGTCAGAATGGCAAGCAAGGAAGAAACAACAAATGCTTGAAAGTCTCCTACTTTGGCAGTGACACCAGTCCGACCCCTTCGATCTTTCTCCGTAGCCTCTCACTACCCTGGCCGGCACCCTCCCTGCCTCAAGCAGTGTGTTGTAGTTAGTGTATAGAGTGGCGTAGCTCTGACAATATTTGTATGGATACTAGATATCTATGGCCAACCAAGTCTAGATGTAATAGAGGTTCTTGATACAGATAATAGATGTTATTCCACTAAAGGCTATGTGAAATATCTGGCAGTTGCAATATACAATACAGAAGCGTATAATTGATAGCAAAAGTAACAAGTTATCACACTGTTTCAGTTTATTATAAACACAGCCTCTGTGCTATGCTTACGAGTCCACAATGGACGAAACAGTTTCGCCCGGAGATTGAGTGAATTGCAGGTTATGTGTGCAGCATTTGCAACAAATACATGATACTGGTTCAGAGTGGTGTGAGGCTTGGTGTTCACACAATATCTGGGAGAATGATGCTCCCTGGTTTAGTTGCTAGCGACTAGAAAACAGCTGACCTAGTTGATGGCCAAACTTGTTGCACTCCCCTCCAAACTATGTGCATGTGAAATAAAACCCATCACTCACACACTTGGAAACGGTCAGCCAGGCGTAGGTTTCCAGCCAGCAGCAACTGAACCTTATGTACTGGCCACATACTTTCATCGCCAAGAAGCCCTACCGTATGCATGGACTGGTAAACCTCCTAGGTGGTCGGAAATGGTGCTACAGTAGCTCAAACATCTCCCTTGATCTTAGCGGCAACTGGCAACTTCAACAACGCACCAGCCACTGTACTACAACTCCCCCAACTTTCCAGACTGGTATTGAGAGTCGGAGATTCTCGGAGAGTCCACACTTTCGGGCAGCCCTGAAGCTACTTTGCTGCCAGAGTCGACAGAATCGGGCACCAACACAGCGTCAGCGCTCGAAGAGTTGTCTGAACAACCGCTATCATGCCGCTTCGAAGAAGTCGCTGAAAACAAATCTCTAATTTTCGTTTCGTCAAAGGGCTTCGCACAATCATGTACCTGCCACACTGACCGAACTTAGAATTGGTGGTAAAGAATAAAGAGAAAAAGGAACCAACCTGAAAGCTTTCAAAACAAAAAGACTGACTGACGTGTTAGCTGCTCTGGATAGACGGTCCTTTTCTAAGACACTTTCATAGGACACTTCTATAGTTTTATGAGTAAAATCAAGAGTATATAAAGACCCAAGAGTGTGCAACTCATGATACCCTTTCTATGGGGTACACCGACAGCGAAAACTCACATCATGTGGTTTAGTGTCGTAGTTGTATGTTTCCAGCTCGTTTTTAGCGAGCACTGGAGTAATAAAAAAGCACTCTCTGACAGAAACTCACTGCGGGTATGCAAATCCCCAGCATGATCATTGCAGATATTTGGATTGCGCGCACGCTATCCTTCGTTTGTACGTAGTGTGAATGTACCTGAGACATGTGATGTGAGTTTTCGCCGTCAAAAACCCCATATGCAGAGTTGTACAATCTTGGGGGCTATAATATACTTTTTATACATTAAAACCTGTAATTACGGCCCACCCCTTGGTTCCAGCAAAAGTGGTCTTTAGTGGCAGTTGGTCTTTAGTTAGAGGTTTGCACCGTTCGACCATATATGGATCCCATTATATGATATGTATGTCAAAATGCAGCTAATACTATTTCCCAGGACTTGCGCAATGCCATTCTTATTTCAGATCAAACAACACTTAGACTTAATTAGTAACTTAGAGACAGAGACAGGGAGAAGACTTATTTTTTTGCTGACGTCAAATTCAGCTGCTACTTCTGAAGCCAGGAGTCAAACGTTCGCCATGGAAGTGTCATTTTGCGCTGGGCTTCAAGTTTGTTCATGCGATCAATCGTACCGATTGTCCTTGTTGTGACTTCTCGATTGCTTGAACGTGATCCTTCAGCATCAGGACCTTGCAGCGCTGCTTTGCTTCTGGATTCCTTGGTGCCATTCTTGATTCGTCTGTGTGACTGGGGTGACAGAGCCGCTCAGTCTTCGTTTCTCCTCCGAGTACTTGGTCCGGCTCATCGCAATTGTCGCTTATCCCCCACGCACTCTTTGACAGGTAAAACCCAGACCAATCACGATATCTAACTTACTTTTGCTTGGGAGGTCGTGATGGCAAGATCAAAGGAGGCACCAAAGAAAAAATGATTGCGACTAGCGCTTTGAATCGCGATGTATTCGACTTTTTTGGGAAGTGGGAATCTGGCCATTCACTGTGTTGCCAAAAGCCAAGCGCAGCGACCCGAAGACCGGAACTGTAGCAGGGGCAACTGACATCCTGGCCTGGAGAGTGTGACAGGCACGCATGTACGGCAGAGAAGTATGAGCTTCATGCTGAAGAAGAAAGGTGTTTTTGATGTGATGCGCCTGGCCGACGTGCTGGTTGTTCTGAGTCTTGGTGGGCTGAGCAGCTGCATTACAAGAGTCGTGGCCAGCGTATCCAGTGGAGCGTATGGCAGCTGTCTGGAGAGGCCTGTATGGCTCATTCAAAGGCTTTGTTGAAACACACTGTGGTGACACACAGGTCACACTGCCCACGGTTCCTTCAAGCACCGAAGTGGCAGCCACAACTGTTCCTTTCCCATTGCTGCCATCCGACAGGCTGAGAACATAAGAGATACTCTACCAGTCTACGCCAGCAGCTAGACAACAGTAAATGTCAGCTCATGTAACGGCACGACTCAAGAGATGCAGAGTTGAATGAACTCTGGACCTGTATTACTAGTGTGCGTGCAAGAACGCGCTTCTTCGCTGATATATTTCGTGCGTTTTGCTTACCTTGCTTCCTTTCTTCGACTCGCTTCACCTGATTCCATTGGTGAATTTTCTTACTTGTGGCAGAGAGTATTTATGTATCATGCTTCCTCACTATGCCTGTTGGAAATTTGACAGAGCGGTAAAAAACTCCTGTTCTTAGTGGCGATAGGTAAGCGACAATTGCGATGAGCCGGACCAAGTAGTAACATCGATCAGAGAGCGCTTTCGATGCGCTCTCCAAGACGTTTCCTATCATGTTGGTTCTTGACAGCACTTGAAATTTTGACAGGTGTAGTGCAGTCCACACCGACTCCACAGTCGAAATGACCTGCGTTCATTTGTTCAGCTGTGCTCCTAGCCAGTAGTCTGGAAAATCAGCAAAATTTCAAGAAGGAGCTTCAAGCAACATTTGAGTCTTTTAAAAAGACTCAAATCTTGCTTGAAGCTCCTAGGAGATTTCCTACATCGCGGTCGCTAGCTACGGGTCAAACATCATCTTTGGGACAGAAAAAAGGCGGTCGCTGGTCACGTTCAGCAGGTAGTCGCTAGTTGCAGTGCATTTTGAATGTGAGACAGTCCAACAACAACAACATACACCAGTTTTACCCTGAGTGCTGCAAGTCACTAGAAGTTTTCTTTTGTTTATCACTTCTTGGACCTATTGCTGTATCACAGGATAAACGGACACCACTTCACTATGCCGGTACTTACACCAAGGACGACTGCGTTCTTCTTTTTTGTTTATCACTGCTTGGACCTATTGCTGTATCACAGGATAAACTGACACCACTTCACGATGCCACTATCGAGAACCAGGTCGACTGTGTTCTTCATCTACTGCAAGCCGGAGCTAACCCAGATGAAAGAGATAAGGCAGGTTATGGAACAGCCATTTCAATATACTCTGCTAATGCATTTCCTGAAAACTAACTTTATGAAGAAATCAAAGTTTGTGTTGGTAAACTGCTGGAAAAGTGCTCAGTGTGCGGGGTGCAGAGCTTTTCACAATGCTTATTCCAAAATTATGGTACAACAGATCCTGATAACACCCCTCACTCTTTCATTTAAAACAGTTATGTGAAGAATCACTCTATGCCATAACTCGGAGCATCATGTTGCTTGTGTTGTGAATGCGGTTGGTCGGAGAACACAGTTCGGTGATGACTTGAGGAGTCTTCTGGAATCAGCAGGCTCAAAGCTGCCACTTGCCCTCTTTCATATCAATGTATCCTCCACAGACGAACATGTGGCATTCAATGTGTACAATCATCTCTCATAGTGAGCCCTGTTCTTTGTTGCCTACTTGTTGAACATACACTTGTGTTGTAGCGGGGAAAGACACCTCTTCACTATGCCAGTGAGAGGCGGGTTCATGTCGACTGCTGGCGACATCTACTGGACAATAAAGCCAATCCAAACCTACTTGACGAGGTAAGTTGTATCTCACGAAGCATTAACAAACAAAACTGTGAAATTGCTACCCTGTGCTGCAATGATCTTAACCACTGCACAATTCTCCACAGGAAACCTGGGATGTTAAGGGAAGCTACGAGTTGAACTAATTCTTTTTTCCTGATCCAAACCTTTTACGATAATTTTAGTTGAAACATGTGCTTGACCGTTATTGTGATAGGTTGTGTAAATACACCTTCCTCAGGGTGTTCAGACTCCACTGTAGCAACTTCATGTTTTACACAGTTATACACCAGTACCTAAAAGAGGTCTCTCGGGTATAGTGTGTAGACTATGTAATCGTGCCATGTAATATAGTGGACACACAAGTAGCCATGTTCTTTGTTGGTTAGTTACTGAAAATTCACTTGTGTTCTACTGGAGAAAGGCACCATTTCACTATGTCAGTGGCCAGGATCATATTGACTGCATGCGGCATCTCTCGACAGCAAAGCCAACCCAAACCTTTCCGATAATTTAAGTTGATGAACATTCTGTTCTACGATTATTGTGATAGGTAGTGTAGAGACTATGTCATGTACAGTAGAGTATTGTGGACACAAAAGTACATATGATTGAGAACTGCTCTGTCTGATTTGTAAAATATACTGCAGTAATCACACCATCAGAGTGATACACCAGTTTTCCCCTGAGTGCTGCAAGTCAGTAGAAGTCTTCATTTGTCAATCACTGCTTGTACCTATGGCTGTATCACAGGATAAACGGACACCACTTCACTATGCCACTATCGAGAACCAGGTCGACTGTGTTCTTCATCTACTGCAAGCCGGAGCTAACCCAGATGAAAGAGATAAGGCAGGTTATGGAACAGCCATTTCAATATACTCTGCTAATGCATTTCCTGAAAACTAACTTTATGAAGAAATCAAAGTTTGTGTTGGTAAACTGCTGGAAAAGTGCTCAGTGTGCGGGGTGCAGAGCTTTTCACAATGCTTATTCCAAAATTATGGTACAACAGATCCTGATAACACCCCTCACTCTTTCATTTAAAACAGTTATGTGAAGAATCACTCTATGCCATAACTCGGAGCATCATGTTGCTTGTGTTGTGAATGCGGTTGGTCGGAGAACACAGTTCGGTGATGACTTGAGGAGTCTTCTGGAATCAGCAGGCTCAAAGCTGCCACTTGCCCTCTTTCATATCAATGTATCCTCCACAGACGAACATGTGGCATTCAATGTGTACAATCATCTCTCATAGTGAGCCCTGTTCTTTGTTGCCTACTTGTTGAACATACACTTGTGTTGTAGCGGGGAAAGACACCTCTTCACTATGCCAGTGAGAGGCGGGTTCATGTCGACTGCTGGCGACATCTACTGGACAATAAAGCCAATCCAAACCTACTTGACGAGGTAAGTTGTATCTCACGAAGCATTAACAAACAAAACTGTGAAATTGCTACCCTGTGCTGCAATGATCTTAACCACTGCACAATTCTCCACAGGAAACCTGGGATGTTAAGGGAAGCTACGAGTTGAACTAATTCTTTTTTCCTGATCCAAACCTTTTACGATAATTTTAGTTGAAACATGTGCTTGACCGTTATTGTGATAGGTTGTGTAAATACACCTTCCTCAGGGTGTTCAGACTCCACTGTAGCAACTTCATGTTTTACACAGTTATACACCAGTACCTAAAAGAGGTCTCTCGGGTATAGTGTGTAGACTATGTAATCGTGCCATGTAATATAGTGGACACACAAGTAGCCATGTTCTTTGTTGGTTAGTTACTGAAAATTCACTTGTGTTCTACTGGAGAAAGGCACCATTTCACTATGTCAGTGGCCAGGATCATATTGACTGCATGCGGCATCTCTCGACAGCAAAGCCAACCCAAACCTTTCCGATAATTTAAGTTGATGAACATTCTGTTCTACGATTATTGTGATAGGTAGTGTAGAGACTATGTCATGTACAGTAGAGTATTGTGGACACAAAAGTACATATGATTGAGAACTGCTCTGTCTGATTTGTAAAATATACTGCAGTAATCACACCATCAGAGTGATACACCAGTTTTCCCCTGAGTGCTGCAAGTCAGTAGAAGTCTTCATTTGTCAATCACTGCTTGTACCTATGGCTGTATCACAGGATAAACGGACACCACTTCACTATGCCGCTATTACCAGCGAGGCCGACTGCGTTCTTCTTCTACTGCAAGCTGGAGCTAACCCAGATCAAGGAGATAAGGCATGTTATGGAACAGACATTTCAATAAACTACGAAGAAATCAAAGACTATGTAGGTAAACTGCTGGAAAAGTGCTTAATGTGCCAGGTGCAGAGCTTTCTTTGACCACTTTGTGGTGGGTCTGATCTACTCACCTCCCACCACTTTAGGAGTCGCATCTGCATATTGATCCAAGAGGGTGGCGGCATTCCGGCGGATGCGGAAAACTCGGCTTCTAGCCGAGTCTCACGCAAATTGTGATTTTTTCCGTTTGCGCCTTTCCCTCGAAATGATTGAAATTCTGGCAAGGTGCTAGTCTGTGAGAAAACAGCAAGTCAGAATGAGGACAAGGACAAGAAACAACAAATCCTTGAAAGTCTCCTACTTTGGCAGTGACACCAGTCCGACCCCTTCGATCTTTCTCCGTAGCCTCTCACTACCCTGGCCGGCACTCTCCATGCCTCAAGCAGTGTGTTGTAGTTAGTGTATGCAGTGGCGTAGCTCTGGCAATATTTGTATGGATACTAGATATCTTTGGCCAATCAAGTCTAGATGTAATTGAGGTCCTTGATACATATAATAGATGTTATTCCACTAAAGGCTGGGCGAAATATCTGTCAGTTGCAATAATACAATACAGAAGCGTGTAATTGATAGCAAAAGTGACAAGTTAGTACAATGTTTCAGTTTATTATAAACACAGCCCCTGTGCTATTCTTACGAGTCCACAATGGACGAAACAGTTTCGCCCGGAGATTGAGTAAATTACACGTTATGTATGTAGCATTAGCAACAAATACATGATACTGGTTCAGAGTGGTGTGAGCCGTGGCGTACAAACAATATTTGGGAGAATGATGCTCCCTGGTTTAGTTGCTGGCGACTAGAAAACAGCTGACCTAGTTGATGGCCAAACTTGTTGCACTCCCCTCCAAACTATGTGCATGTGAAACAAAATCCATCACTCACACACTTGGAAACGGTCAGCCAGGCGTAGGTTTCCAGCCAGCAGCAACTGAACCTTATGTACTGGCCACATACTTTCATCGCCAAGAAGCCCTACCGTATGCATGGACTGGTAAACCTCCTAGGTGGTCGGAAATGGTGCTACAGTAGCTCAAACATCTCCCTTGATCTTAGCGGTAACTGGCAACTTCAACCATGCACCAGCCACTGTACTACAACTCCCCCAACTTCCCAGACTGTTATTGAGAGTCGGAGATTCTCGGAGTCCACATTTACGGGCTGCCCTGAAGCGATTTCGCTGCCAGAGTCGACAGAATCGGGCACCGACACAGCGTCAGCGCTCGAAGAGTTGTCTGAACAACCACTATCATGCCGCTTCGAAGAAGTCGCTGAAAACAAATCTCTAATTTTTGGTTTCGTGAAAGTGCTTCACACAATCATGTACCTGCCACGCTGACAGAACTTGGAATTGGTCGCGAAGAATAAAGAGAAAAGGGAACCAACCTGAAAGCTTTCGAAACAAAAAGCCTGGCTTTCCGACTTCGATTTCGACTCCAGTTTTCTAGTGCCAAAAAATTGGTGTGAATCTGCACTGCACCGGTGCTGTGCACCACTGTTGCAGTGTGGTTCACACAGCGAATGTGAACAGCGGTTCAAAGAAGAACAAGCCTATCCTCAAGCCTAACAAATGCATAGACTAGATGTCCTACCCAATGCTGGACTAGATGTCCTACATGTACATATCATGTAGATCCTGCGAACTCTTCTTCAGTCAACAGTCTCTACGCGTGAAGTCAGTGCCTGTAGACTTGATATGCATGAACAGGCAGTAGTACTGACTACAGTGCATTACTTTTCGACATGTCCTGGGCCTCCTGGCCAACCATGTATGGACACCTGACTGCAAAGTATCCACTCTGGCTACGCGCTTGGTATCTGTATGCGTGTGTGCATGCATGCATGCATGCATCCATGGGCGTGTGTGAGTGTGTGTGTGTGTCCGTGTGTGTACACGTGTGCGTTCATTGTGTATTGTGTACGAGGGCACACACGTGGGACAGGCCCTGCGGGTCAGCAGCAAACTCGCTCGTACTCCATGTTAGACATTCTTCAGTTAACGAGCACCCCTCTAAACACCTGATAAGTATTGATTAGTCAACACAATAACACATGCAATTGAGTGCATTGCAATCCATGCGGTTACATCTACTGACTTTGTACATTTACGATTTCGGCACTGCCTGCAAATCAGACAGGTAGGCATAGTGGGATGGTCTAGGATCTTGAATGTGAAGTAGAGGATACCCGATTCAAATTCTGCTTGGAAGGCGAGGGATTTTTCCAGCCCTGCTGCAACCTGCAGGTAGTTGATCCTGGCACGTGGGAAACATGGATACAGTGAATGGGATTTTTGGTCTTTGTCCACTTTGTGGTGGGTCTGATCTACTTACGCCCAACTGCCTTATATTAGGAGCTGCATATTATATTCTGCTCTTTAATCCTTGCGGGGGTAGTGTTCGTACGCATGCGGAAAACTCAGTTTGGCGCAGTCTCACACGAACCGTGTCTTTTTGTCTCACAACTGTATTTTATTCTTGTCGGAGACAAGATAGTAAATATTATTATTGATAGAAATACAACCAATCGACATCCAACAGACACTGATTCGTTTTGACAGAAACCTTTTTCTCCAGAATTCATCAATGACTACTTCTGGTGTGTATTTTACATGACACAAGATATTATCTTGTTACACTTGAATCCTGTTCCATCTTTTTTGGTGTCTATTTTTAACATGTTCCCTGTTCCAGAATGGCGACACTCCATTGGACATTGCGGCAAAGAAGGACACACCGCATCTTGTGAAGTATCTTGTCCCCTACATACTGCGTGACAAAACAAAGCTTCAGGTAAGACAGCAGCGCTTTTATAGTAACTTTAGTTTTTCAGAGCCTTTGCTGTTCTTTTGCAGATATCTGTGGAAAGTTACAGACAGCATGTTCCAGTTGAAAGTTAGCAGGGTTTGCACTGGTTGGGAGCAATTTCCCTAGGTGGGATGACCATTGTACCTGGGTGGAATGACCACTACCCCTGGGTAAGATGACCACTGTCCTTGGGTGGGATCACCCCTGGCTCTGGGCAGGTTAACGACTGCCCCTGGATGGGATCATCACTGTCCCTGGATGGGATGACCATTGTCCCTGGATGGGGTGACCACTGTTCCTGGGCGGAGTGACCATTGTCCCTGGGTGGAGTGACCATTGTCCCTTGGTGGGGTGACCGCTGTCCCTGGGTGGGATCGCCACTGCCTCTGAGTGTCCATGTGTGTGTGTCCATGCGTGTACGTGTGTGTGTGTGTCCCTATGTGTTTGTGTTTATGTGTGTGCGTGTGTGTTTATGTGTGTGTGTGTGTGTGTGTGTGTGTGTGTGCGCGCAGGCACACATGTGTGTATGTTTGTGTGCATGTGTGTGTATGCGTATATCCACGTGTGTGTTTATGTGTGTGTTTGTGTATGTGTGTTTGTATGTGTGTGTGTGTGTGTTTGTATGTGTGTGTGTGTGTGTTTGTATGTGTGTGTGTGTGTGCACGCGCGCGCGAGTGTGTGTGTGCGAGCTTGCACGCATGTGTGTGTATGTTTGTGTATGTTTGTGTATGTTTGTGTGCATGTGTGTGTGTTTGTGTGTGTTTGTTTACTTCCTATGCCCAGTGTCTGTCACTATTTGTACAAGCTTGGGAAAAGTCTGCTGACGCGTGCATACCGGCAATACAGGTGAAGTGAACTTGTGTAATTCCCATGCAGCTTGACATAGCATAGAGATCCACACTGGTTTGGCAGGGGACCTGAAATTGAGCAGGGTCATGCCATATATTGGATTGAGAGTACCAGGACGCAATAGTTGAAAAAGAAGGAACAAAAATATTACTGGAACAGAACATGATAAATTTATGCAGAAGATGACTCCACAAATCACTACATACATAGTAGTGAGGGAAACATAATCTCCTCCCCCTACCCCCTCAGGGCCATGAACACCGTGCAATAATTCCACCATCCTTCCAATTGACCCCCTACGGACCCACCCCTGCCCCACCTCGCACTTGACTGAATGTATGTCCATCTTAACAGGTACTTCCTCCGCGTCATCGAAATTGTCGCAGTTTGACTTTTGATATAAAACGGGGTATTTACTCACCAGCACTCGTACCACGGGTAAGGAATCGGACATAGGCGATGGTCATCAGTATAGGGTGACGGCAAAGTTCTATTTTCTGTTATTGGAAGCTGGAATTTTTGAACTAGACGCAATTTCTTCGCTGATGTCGCTGCGATGGTTATTTCGACTCGGTGAGATCAGTCAGGCGTTGCAGCCTGCACATTTCTCGTGCGTATGGCCATTCACTCAAGCCTCATCACTGTTTTACCTTAGCTGGGGTGAGAATGACTTCGTGGAACAAGTGGCAGCGCTTGGAGAAACATCGAGGGGTCAGCAAACTAAATGCCTGCAACAGCGATAAATTTGTCGCTCTGGCCGAGACACTCAGTACATGATTGTACCTGCAAGAGCCGTGTAGACTCTACATGTAGTGCTAGTGATGCACGCGCAGGTGCCGTACCATGGTATACCAGTGAATCAGGGCCGGGCAGTGATGCTGAAAAAGAGGGCGCGCTGGACGTGATAGTACACTTACCTGCATGAGCTGTGACCACACAGCTAAAACAAATGGGCATGCCACGGCTAAAAAATGTTCATTTCAAGATCGAGGTGATTCCGCCGACGGTAATCAACTGACCTCGCAACGATCGTGTATTCTTACTAGGCTTCGTTGGTGGTGAAGTAGAAATCATCCAGAGCTAGCAGACGACAAGCATAGCAGCTCTTGTCCTGTGGAGAAAGTCAAAGCGTTTGAGATGAGGCGCGACCAACTTTCAACCTTCCTTGAAATATTTCGGAACGATATTTTTGCGTCCATTGACAACAGCGACGACGAGGACTTCATCTCTGCATGAAAACTCTCAGTCCAACTGTCCTGGAACGTTACTCTAGGCTTCAGA